CCTGAACTGCCGTTAACTGCTGCCTTAAAGCCGAAATATCACCGTGTAATTTATTTTTCAATTTATCATCTTTAGACAAAATTTCATTCAACCGATTAATCTCATCGTTATTTTGCAATTGCCTAAGACACAATGCAACATAATTTTTTGTACACCGAATCATAGTACCCAATGAATCACGAGTGACTGCTAATGCCTCTTGCTCCGATTTTGAAGCTTTCAACTTAGCGTCAACCTCACTTACTTCTTGCGCAAATTCCTGATTTAAAGGATCAAAATCATTTTCAAAAATGAAATGCCGCAAATCTGACTGAAGAGGATGCAAAAGATTATTCGCATTTTCATCGAAAGGAATATCTTCATCCAACAATGACTTTTCACAATTAAACGCCGTATTATTTTCATCATCTGAATTTTCAGAAAAAGGAGTTCCTTCTCTCATCGTAATATTACCAAGGAAATTACTGCCAACCGTATTATTATTCTGATCATTGCTCATAGCAAACCCGCGTTCATCGCTAACTTGAGCCGCTGCACTACGTTCTCTCGCCATATTGGACGGAGTTACGAAATTCCCTACCACTGCTGAATTCAAATTTTCAACCGCATTACTGACCACTTCTGCATTCTGCATATTTACTGACTGCCCTACTGAATGTGGATTCACCAGTTGCGACATCACCAATCTCCTCGGATTCACCACTTGATCTGGATTTACCACTGACGGAGTTACCTGTTTCCCAGGATTAACCGTACCAACTGACTGACTTGAAATCAACTGCATACTGGACAGAGTCATGCCATTTTTCTGTGCACTCGAAGCCGAACTATCTTCCAAGTCCAACAACGACTCACTTACCGCATTCCCAGAATTCTCAATAATTACCGAGGCGTTTAACTGCCCATCTGACATAACTATGGTATCCCGAGATTTCTTACCAGTACCTGACTCCTTTCTTTGCTGCACTTCTGCCTTATACGCAGTGACATTCAAAGTCGCCCATTCTTTTGCTGCTTTAAACTCTGCTTCTGACATATTCAAATAAGCTGACGGGATAGACCGTTCGTGCGAGAACCAAGTGCTATAGTAACTCGGAGCTCTTACCAACGTTGAATTTTTGTCTTCCCAGTCAACCCATTGTTGACTGCAGTACGCGCTCTTTTTCTCCGGAGGTTCTAACCCTACTGCCCTATACATTAAGCCAAGGGGAACTTTCTTCGGAAACTGAAAACGAGTGTCAAACCCGCTTTCAACCGCTTTCGACTGCAATCTTTCTGATTCAACTTTTCTCAATGGCCAAAAGCCATCTCGTTTCACAGTTAAATCTGCTGATTCTGACATTTTGTTTGCAATGCAACCGCGACTAACCTTACCAATTACAACTGGATTCAGAAAGTGAAAGTTACACTGTTCCCGTTGATTGACGAATCAACCAACTCGTATGACCCACGGCTCTTGACAGAAATACACGTACGCTACTCAAAGCTGTGACTCCTGACAACACCGTTTCGTTAGGACGACGCTGACTCAATACCAACCTCCGCGGTACCGAAACAACACGTCCGAAAATCTCGTTGTTACAGCACACACTCAAGCATGCGTAACAAACTCGTATGAATCTCGTTGCTACAACACGCACTCAAGCGTAAGTAAGCAACTCGTATTTCGTATTTACAGCTGACCTTTAAGGTTTCAACTGCGAATCGTATTTAACCGCTAGTTACAACACTGTGACTGATTTCCAGTTAACAGTGACACTGCGTTTCACAACAAGAGACAGCTATATCTGCTCTGTTGATTACCGAAAATTTTCAAAATTGTAGTACGATGGCTATTCCGCTAACTCGGATGTGCCATATTTACAAAAATTCGACATTTTTACGAAGATTCAATATTAAAGAACGGCTAAAAATACACTGCGAATTTTCGCACGTTTGACTTACAATTCCACTCAGCTAATCCTGCTGGTTCTGCCGTTCAAATTCACGTAGTCTTTCTGGCTTGCCCGGTTCAGAAAAGAAAAATAAAATGAAAGGAAATTTTGACCTCGAATGGTCTTACGGTGCTTTTTCAATCATAGACACGTAAAGTGCCGCATACACGAACAGTTTTCAAGTGCCTATACTGTTCTCAGTCCGTATTGTCACCCAAAATATATATCGCTAAGTGCGAATCAATCTATACATCAATCAACCGGGGGACTCGGTTACCCTAGGTCAGTACTGGAACGCAGACCTCCTGCACCACACTAGTGGCTCCTAACGGACTTTCTTAAATGTGGGCTCTCTCGAGTTGACCACCAACCATCCTGCACCATCAATTTAATTGTACTATCAAATTAAATTAAACTTTCTGCTCCATCGGGAAAGTTTGAACCACGGTGGGCGCCATGTCGTGCAATAGGGAAAATATTGGAAAATATAATATACCACGGTGGGCGCCATGTCGTGCAATAGGGAAATTGGAAAATATAATATACCACGGTGGGCGCCATGTCGTGCAATAGGGAAATTGGAAAATATAATATAGGTGTGAGATAAAAGCGTGCAGAAAGCACCGTATTAACAATAAGTGCAGTTTTTCTCCATGGTTAATTGAAACACATCAGTCACACAGTCCTGCAATATTCACTGATGAGATTTCATTAAATGCAAGTGATGACGCATAATTAATCATACTGTCGTGCAATAGGGAAAGTAAAATATAAATAAAGCGGCCGCCACTGGGCTGATTTCCAAAAACACCGCAGCCGCTAACAACGGCATGACGTTGTCTTTATGGACTGAGATTTCCAACGAGTAAGCAAAATCGATTAAACTGCAAATATAAGAATGAAGGATAATCTCGACGCTGCGTGCATTCGTTAGTTCGTTGCCTACAAATCAGTGGAAAGTGTTATTACTCGATTGCAAATAGAGCAAAAATATTGCATAACGAGACCCACGTTTTAGGATTTCACTTGAAACATTCTCCAGTTGGACTTCTTCGGTATAACACTCCTTCAAACCGATACTAAACATGGTGCGGAAATAACCACTGCAACAGCTTAAAACCGATCGGTGACACGGCATAGCTGCAGCCGTTTCCTCGCTTCCTTTCATGACTACATCGCAAGACGCATCACCAGGGCGTACATCCTCGTTAGAAAGAGTAGAAGTGTTCTGCAGGAGAAACGTGGCACTTCGATCGCAAACAACAGCCTTCAGAATGGCACCCGGCACCGGGAAGACCGTAGATTTCGTCGCCATAACAAGAATTCTGGGAAATTTTGAAAAATGGATAAGCAAGTGTTCGCGGACTTTCACAATAACAAAACTGGGCTTTGGACAACTATGGAGTTTGCATAATCGTAACTGTTTATAAGCACTAGAAATTCCGACCCCGTATAACACACATTGCCTCAGACCAGCTGGATCAACCTGGCCATGAAATCTGTGAAATTGCCAAATTGGAAAATATAATATAGGTGTGAGATAAAAGCGTGCAGAAAGCACCGTATTAACAATAAGTGCAGTTTTTTCTCCATGGTTAATTGAAACACATCAGTCACACAGTCCATGCAATATTCACCAGATGAGATTTCATTAAATGCAAGTGATGACGCATAATTAATCATACTGTCGTGCAATAGGGAAAGTAAAATATAAATAAAGCGGTTGTGCGGTGGAAATAATGCACTTCCCGGACCACGACCAGTCGGGGGAATAGAGCGACTCTTAATCTCAACTTCTTATGTATTTCATGGAGCGAAAGGTTAAGGATGTTGATGTACAAGTATGAGATGATATGCAAGGATGAAGAAGAGGATCCGGAACTAGAAAGCCTGCTGAAAGAGAAGACACGAAAGGAAACACAAGGGATGCGTGAAGTTATACGTTACCTGTCCGACGCTAGATGGTAGCTGAAGCGTATGAGTATGACTAATCCATCAACCTGGCGCTACAGGGCATGAAGATCGAAGGACCGAAAGGTCACGGCAATCAAGTGGGATCAAGTGGGTAGCCTGTTACGTCACGAGACTATCCGAAGATGATAATGCACGTCGACGAAGTAGAGAGGAATGACCCCTGACAATAGGTGAAAGGTCACCCAGAGGTCAGTTTGAACAGCCTCACTTGGAAAGAGAAAACCAGAGCAAAAAGCCTGAAGTTAATCAGATCGAGTAACAAGACTCTACTTTTGTTGGGATTACAACTCTTGACATTTGTGTGGGCGACGAGCGCCTTATATAGCCGTGGGCACCGCAAGTGCTGGCTCTTCGTACGCGCAGGTACGGATCTGAGAACAATAGGATTTAGAATCTAACCAATAAGAGACATCTAAGGACACGTGGACTAATCACACCGCTGCATCACTACACGTGGACAAATGAGAACATGAGGTCAACTAATACACTAGAACAATAGGTTGAGCTACGTCATCGAAGCGCGGTCACGTCGAAATGGCAAGTCGCGGTCAAAGTTCTCTGCTGGGGATTTCTGAGAAGTCGAAGTAGAGACTCGGGGTCAGGACTCGCGTAAAAGATGTAGTAAAGCCTAAGCCTTAGTTGTAGGGGTAGAAGTAGTAAAGTAGTACCGATGTGTACTAAGGGACGCCAGTACACGTCAATACTGTGATATGATTTGATTGTGGCTATCAGACATACATTTGCACTCATTCTTATCCATATGGCTTACAAAGGAGCTGTTGCAGGTATAATATGAAGTTGCGAAATGAACTTTGAGTGCAAGAAAGAGATTTGTTTAAACACATACCGTATTTTACTGTAACGATGCTCTATCTGGCTAAACTAAGACTTGAATTACTCTATCTGGTTTTGCACAAGTTCGTGCGTTTTGCACAAGTAAGTGCGTTTTCGTAACTAATTATTATAAAAAATTGCCAAGAAAACTACAAGTACCCGATATTAATCCAAATCTGATACGCCACATCTACCGATGGTGAAATGATTTTAATGTCGTCAGTTGAACAATAAATTATGTAGCGCCGGTAAAAAAAAGATGCCTGATAATATTATTATGAGATCAGTCTGTACACAATTTAAATAAAAGACGAACAGGAATTACCGCAGTATTTGGTAAAAAACAGATCTCCAGAATAACCGTATCGGCGCAGATTGTATTGCGCATTCGTTGTCTGCTCCTCATTTTAGCGCTTGAGCGCTGTCTATGGTCAGTTCACCCTACAAGAGCACAGAGATCACAAATTCATGCTTTATAAAAATTATGAAATAATGGTACGTTTTACCTTTTTTTACACGTATTGCTACACATCCGAATGCACTACGGGCACTAAGCATCCTAGTTTCTTGTATACTCCACGTATCGGTCTTCTCTTCGTATATTTCCATGGAGTTATCATAACCATCATCAAAACCTCCCAAAGCGTAGATCTTTCCATCTACACACACTGTTCCCGCTACCCGTCTTCGTTTGTTCATGCTAGCTAAAAATTTCAGATACTTCCGTTAATGTACACGGGTATCAGAGTTGTTGATACAGATATATTCTGTTAACAACCTTCGCAATCCTAACAGCAGCATCAATGTTTGGATCGACCAGAAATCTTATTTACCATTGGCCAGTTGCTGTACTCACTATTTGCCAGCCATGCGTCTGCACATACATCGTACGCTTCGACACATGACAGATTATTTTGTACCGGAAAAGCATTAGTGCCACCTGCAAAACAAAACGTCAGAACAAAACTCCCGGAGCTCGAAACGGTGACCTTTACCAATAACATAGATCAGACCGCTTGGTCCAACACACGCCGAGCAGAAATATCGCGGCGTAGGTATCCTGGCCACTTCGGACCAGGAATCCGTACTAGTATCATAACAAAAGGAAGAATTGGTCGCGATACCGGCTGACGTAAAACCTCCAAACGTGTACAAGCGACCCTTGCAAGCTACAGCGGCAAAACGCGACAACGATATCGGCAAACTCGCCACGTACTGCCACTGATTGGTTGCTGGGTCGTAGCGCTCCATGGTTTGTATCGTTTCACGATTGCCGCCACGCCCACCAAGTGCGTAAACATAGCCATTCAATACGGCCACGCCAGGATGAACCCGTTCGGTCTGAAGATCCGCCATTTCATCCCATTTGTCGAGATTTGGATTGTATCGGGATACGCGTTTCATGTAGCGGCCATTTAACGGATTGTATCCGCCACACAGAAACAGGTACTGGTCGTCGACGTTCACAAGACCGGCACCGTACACTTTGTATGACAGTCTTTTCCAAACGGACCAAATCAAATTGGCCGGCTCGAAACAGTCAACACAGTCCAGAGCACTGCCGCCGCTTATAGCTTCACCTCCAACACACACAATGACCTTTGTCATACCTGTATAAGATCAAACGTAAGTCTTAAAATTCTGGATTGCAGTCTGCAGATACTTATTTACCGTAAAACTTTCGTGAGCGGTTTTGCGACAAAATCGCTTCCTCTGTGCGGTTCGGAATTTCGTGCAGATAACTTTCAACATGTAGCTTTTCATGCACAGGACTGTCCTTAACCGCGTTTAGGAACGCAACCAGATGAGCATGCAAATAAGCGGGACTCAAAAATGCCTGGCGAATGTGTTGTATAATTTCGTAAAAATGTGGACGCCGATTTGGAATATCATGGTCGAGCCAGCGAATGACCGCGTGGAGAGCCTCTTCTTCGCGGTCAACGTACAAATCATCCGAGCTTATCAGTTCAGTTACCTGCACCAAGGAAAATACAAAACAAATGTTTTCTTAAAGAAACCGATATTCAGCTAACAATAAAACATATTTACACAAACCTTATCTTTGTTTAACTCCAAAAAGGCTGGAGAATGACAAATGGTCTGAAAATGACGCAACATCATTGCCTTGACGTTTTCAGCCAGTTTTGGTTGGTGCATTTCGCACTGGGGCAAGTTGTACAATTTTAAGCAGTTTGTCTCGTCCAGTCGACGCTCCAAGAACTGCCAACATCTTTCGGCAATCGGCGGGATTACCAGGAAAAGAGCAGTCGTTAGCATCAACTCAACGTTGTCTTCATCAGTAGAAATTTCGGATGAGTAACAGTAATTGATCAAACTGCAAATATGCCATGTAATTATTAAATTATAAGCTGATATGGGCAACTGGAAGCCACGTTGCGTAATTAGTAACCTACATAGATAAGATCTAGACCGCGTCGAAACACCGCTTTTATTTTGTATTTGCTTCGACATAGGTGCAACACCATCCAGATTTGCAAAACTTCGTACTTAACCGGATTAGTTTTGAGCGAATGGATTAGTATTTTTTGTCGATTTCAATCAAAACTCATGGCAAATAATAAAAAGGTAGCTCCCATTAAATAATTCTACCTGCAACACCTGTCACAATCCCTGAAGTCGGGACAGTGGACAGTGTATTCGTTTGCATTATCGCCTTACCTTTTCAAGATATCGCTCGGTATATTCTGCAGTTGCACTTCTTCTTGATGGCATTCACGTAAACCGACGGTAAACATTGCCCGGAAATACACACTATGTGCGCAAAGTACCAAACGATGACAGCGTATACCTTCCGCCCAACGCTCGCTTCCTTTCAGAACCACATCACAGAGTACTGTGCTGGTGCGCATATCCTGGATTTCTTGTGCAAAGACGGCTGCGTCCATTCGCAAGCGTAGGGCAGATACTCTTTTTACGGGAATAATATCCCTACTGGTATCAGACATTTCGTACGGTGTATTCGCACTGGGAGCCATGTAAGTTTAGACACAAATCACAGAAATGCAGTGCATAAAATGCTTGAAAGCTAAATCCTTTAAAAACTAGGGTGATCGCATTGCAGCATCTGCTGCAACGAAAAACTACAATTTGCGTAATGAAAACTCTACCGGGTTTCCTCGGTTATTATAAACCGAAATATCAATTTGATAGTTAGTCTGTAAGTACCGCCTTATTGATTATCATGCGTATCTCACAATATGAACATTTTTCTCACAGGAGAATAATTTAAAGAGTATGGATAAGGTGATCGATTTGTAGAATTTAATTGTCGCTAAGCTTGTCAATGAGAACCTTTGATAAAACAATGATATCATAATTCGGTCGTCACAATCCCTCCTTCTTCGACTGCGTATCAGTGGTTGCCTCTCCATATCCAATGCACCACATGACCTGCGTTATCCAGTGTTTCTTCTTTTATCGAAACAAGTGGATACAAACTCTCCATTCATAAAACTACCACGGCTTTGACTGCAACTGTCTGTACATAATATTATTTCAAAGAATATCGGTCAACGCTGTTGGCATGTTAGCCGACAGGCTGTCTGGGAAATTTTAAAGTGACGCTTGTTGGCTGGCGCCTGGAAGCTTGCGAGCACAAGACTTTCCCGAAATCATCGCATCGAGCGCTTAATTTATAGTGTTGCAATTTTACTATCATTAACTAATGGTTATCGCGATTTTGTTTGAGAAAGCACTATTGTACGGTAATTATCATCGCTACGATGCAAATGGATATGATCGTACTAGGGAAGTTCACCGCTTCCGGCTAGCACTTTAAGACCGAAGCGAAGCTAGAAACAAGGAACAGTAAAATTAAAGGTTGCCCAGCAAAACCCTACAATCAGGTTCTTTTATCTGGCAACATTCATTAAAGTAATGAAAGTCTGGATGCAGTGACGCTGCTTCAAGGTTAATAAAAATTCATTAGGTTAATGCACAACCCTTTTTGTATCTCGGTATTTCTAACAACAAGGCTGCAACGCATCTCAAAATTTTTGTCTTTCAAATTATACCTGGAGAGCGAAGAGCAATAAATTTTTTTCTCATACATATAAAGTCAGGATGATCAGTGACACATAAAAACCCACAATAACATCAACCACAGAAAAGTTTACTGTCATTGTCAAAGCGCGGGACAAAGCACTACATGACTAACAAAATCACAACAAGCCCTACAGCGTTCTTCTGCAACATCGCGCAATTATTTATAATTCACAGTCTTCTATTCCGGAAGCACCGCAATCACCCGCACCGGGGCGCCGGTGCCGGCCTTGCTCTTCATGGGTGCCAGGATGACAAAAGCGCCCACCGGCGGCAGTTTATCTACATTGGCCACGTGCTCGATCCCCAGCCGGTTCTCTTTGGCCAGCGCCAAGTGGGCGCCCATGGTTTCCGTGGAACGGGCGTTGTCCGTGGACGGCGAGTCCACACCGATGCCGCGGATGTTACGCTGCTGCACCAGGAATTCCGTCGCTTCCGGATGGAAGCCGGGGTAATGATAGGTCCGCCCGTCGGCGAGGGTTTCGGTGTTATAGACTTTCCGGTAGTCCGGCCAGCGTTGACCCCATTCGGAGTACATGAAGACGAAGGCGCCTTCGGGGATGCGGCCGTACTTGTTCTCGAAGGCTTGAATGTCGTCGACACTGAGCTGGTAATCCAGGTTGGCTTTGACCTTGTCGACAATGTCGATACGGACTGCGGGACCGGTTAACTGGTGCAGTGTGAGATCGGCCATGCCGTCCCTAATAATAAATCGAGCATTAAAACGCGTTGAATATTTTCTACAAATCACAAAGATATTGGAACACTATACTTTATTTTTGGACTTTGAGCTGCAACTGTAGGGACTTCACTAAGATTTTTGTTACGCTCAGAACTAAGACAACCCGGAAATGTATTTCATTTGTGTTTGTTTGACCGATATAATATAGTTAAAAGCGAAATCATGGACATTAATAATATTTCCTAAAATATTATTAATACTGGAAAAAAACCGATGCAAGATAGAGAAATTAAAATCAACATTAGATGCAATTAAGAATAATCCCGACAAAACAAAGGATTGTACATGTACAATTAAACTAATTTAATTAAAAAAATAAATGCCAAGGATTTACGCATTACAAAACGTGAAGTGTATTTCATCTATGATCGGCAAATCAGAAAAAGATCCTCTTAAATTGCAGACTGGTTCCCCCTATGCTTGCAATTTTTTATAAACATCCATACGTAATATGTTATATACATAGGTTGTCCGTTGAAGTACATATAAAAGTACTCGTAAAAATGTACTCGTAGTCTTGATATAGTGCATATGCGCAGCACTGTAGGTGTGCTGTTTGTAAATATTTCTTACGCGGAAAAATTGAGATGATACGGACTATCCAGATGCGTGCCTCCATGCTCACCGGCAATAAAGTGGCCCGAGCGAAAAGTGAGATTGGCTTCCGTAACGTAATCCTGATGTGTGAGGGTAAAATTGTACCCGCCTCCTTGCCAAAATATAGTCTCCGCTGATAAGGAGTGCGACATATCCAGTAGACGATTAGTGGCAAAGGAAAAATTTGCCGCCGGAAGTGGCTTACTGTCAACCCAGCTATTCTTGACAACTGCTAAAATTACAACAGGTAGTAGTGGAATCATTTTCAAATCGAACTTTGATAAACGTAGACCGTAGATATTAAATATTTCGACGTGCGTTTCTATGTTTACTGGCTTCTGATAAGAAAAATCGAAAAATTCAGAAGTAAAAACACATAACGGTATAACGGAGACAACGATAATAACACTTTTCATTGCCGTGCAAGCGCTTTTCGGTTTTTTTATTATCAGATAAAACCACAAGTACATACATGTGCGGTTCTCTAGACGGATTACTCTGGACCAAATGTCAAAGTACAGGTACTGAGGTACCGTTCTTATATATGCTACGAGTACTTCGAGAACGTTTTCTACTTCTCAAAATATACTCCACACTCATGAATTTAAAGCACTGCCCATGAACTGACTAGAAGCCAGTGTAGAAGCCAAAATTATACATAGCTTTTGCGGTATACTGTATTTCCACAAATAATCTCATTTCTCTGCAACACTGTACTCACATAAGCTAAGAATTGAACTGGATTTACGCTCTCGCCAGTTACAATGTAATTATTGGGACAGCGTTGCAGTTTTGTTAAAATTATCATACATTTTCAAAGCCGATAAAGTTGTACTTTACGTCAGCTAAAGCAGATAACAAGCGGTAAGAGTGTAAAAGAGCATAGCATGGCTTTGCTAAACTGAAAACCAAGCATGAATGACGAAAATTAAGCATGCAAGTTTTCCCGTCACTACGATTTCGTTGTGAGGCTGCTGCGCGAGCGTAGACTGCTGGACAAGCGCGTCTTCATCTTCCGGTACAGATTGACCTGTATCCCAATGTAGAACAGAAAGGAGAAGGTGTAGTAGGAATTTTTGAAGAGGAGAAAAATCGGCAGATGCTGATCGACATATTTCTGGAAATCCGTATGCGGGAACGCGCAGATCGGCTGCAGGGTCATCATCTCCATGATCGCCAGGACAATGTCGAAGGCGTTCGTCACCAGGTAGAAGGCGCAGCTGCTGAACAGGATAGTCAGCGGGGAACGCATGGCTTGGGGCTGGGGAAACTGGAGGTGCGGGTTATTGCCGTTACTGTATACGATGGTGATCTCCTTCTTATGCACGCCGTGGTGTACTTCGATGCGGCGTCCGGTTACGTTGCGGGAGCGGTACAGCTTCCAGATGATAAGGATGTTGGCGATGATGATGATCAGTGCCGGTCCAACGCGAAACATGACCTACAGAGTGTTCGGTTACCGGGTTACTGACTTAGAATTTGATCCGATTATAGTTAACTAGACTAATCATTTGTCAAATAATTTGTATATTTAATATATTATATTATAGACTTAAGTAATAATAATTGTGTACAAATAATTATATGCAAGCACAGTTATGTAATTGTTGTATTAAGAAGGACCTTATGGTTCCAGTACCTAGCTTGGTATTCAGTACAAAACTATAGAGATAAAAGCATATTCCATTATTTATTAACTAATTTACGATATATAGGAGCTGTATTACAGCTGAAAAATTAATTCTTCAAGAATTATTATATTCCGTTTCATGCAGTTGCGGACTTCGTGGTGTCAAGGATTTACCGAATTTTATAGAAATTGCGTTGACCTTTTGAAATAACGCGTGCACAAAATATGTCATTTTCTATATTTTAAGGTTCGAACTAAACCATTTTCTGCTTTATTTGCGACTGGGTTAAAAAACAAGTGACATTGCTTTTAACGGCATTCTCTTAACAGACGTTTTAGTTGCTCATGCATGCGCTGGCGATCATCATTATTTGTCAGGAATGATTATCGGATTGCTTATGTGCGTAGCGTGCCCACATCGGCGTTAGGCCGTCTGTGCGGCTTCCCTTACATAACCCCATACATCGTTAGGGTTCGCTAATGAGGTATTGAACGGCTTCCGCCTGTAACATACGTCAAACCATTTATCGACATTAATCCAGGCCTGATAATGGCGGGGTAGGTTACTATTTCCGCCCGGCCGACCATGCTCCAGCACATAATAGTAGACAAAGGGCGACACCATGCAGATCACCGCCGCGGCGAAGTACGTCAGGCCCACCAACCCGAAACAGATGCGCTTGCGGATCTTGATGGAGACGCTGTGGTGGATGGGCTTAATCATGGCCAGGTAGCGGTCAATGGAGAACATCACCAGGATGCTGTCAACACAGGAAAATCCCTGTTTTCATCGTGTGTACCGGGCGCAGTAAATTATAATCATACGGTACTGACAGAATTAATGAGCGTAATCTGTATACCACGGTCACGCAACGTGAAATAAAATTTCACGGTTGGTTGCGCAATAATGACAGCGAAGCTCCCCGAAAACACCGTTTGCCGAAATCATGATGAATAAATTGTCAGCTGTTAGAAAAAGGTGTGATTACCCGTGCGAAGCGAAGATCGTGATGGTCAACATGTACATCCAAATACCGTTCGTCGCCAAATGGAAATTAATGAAGGGCAGGGCTTTGGTGGGGTCACCATGTCCCACAAGGAGTCCGGTGCCCCATGAGACCATCAAAAATACCCACCTTAAAGTAAAAATCGCTTATTGCATTATTTGGTACTCGACTATTCGGTTCAAGACACATTTATATCTCCAGGACTTACGAGTTCATCGTTTTCCGTTCTTGTATTTCGTACGAAAACTTATATTGTTTATATATTTACGCCCTGTTTTTATTATCCGTTAACTAACAACGCAATGCAAGCAGGGAAATTTTTACTGTGAATCTGATGTTTATTTACACGATTTAAAAACACGGTGCAATAACTCCTTATGTAGCAATACCCTATCGTGGAAACGTGCTAGCTATTCGCTTCAAAAAAGTATAAACCATTACCATTAACTTTGCATACTCGTATCATTATTTTTATCTTCATGGATTCCAGCTGTATTAACAGCACTCGCGTTTTACTCAAATACCTTGATGCTTTCACCTGAGGTCACCAAAATATTAATCTGTTCAGTAATTAGGTTAAATCCCGTAAATAATTAAATTTATCATTGCATAATGATCTCTATAAATTTTTCTTGACGGTTTCATGAGAATTTGTGCGATTTACGACGGTAGTTAACTTGGCAGTTGGCATAACAGAATTTGTTCAATATCTACGCAGATTTTAAATTAACAGATTTTAAAGTGGAAATATATATGTAATTTGCGTTACGAGGCTACGTTGCTCGTAAAGATAAATCATTTTATAAGGCTCATATTATACAAAGCAGTAAAATGGCCATGCGTATCTTCAAATGCTTGTGAAATTCTTGCTCCCGCGGCTTAATCATCGCTTTGCTATGCACGGTATGTGTGTAAACTGTAAAGCGATGCTCGTTGTCAGCGCCATACATTCTTCAGCTCATTTAATTTTATGCGAAGACTGAACTTCATTCACTTACAAGTAGATCAGATCCGTAATAAATAACGCCACCAGGAAGATATCCCGCGGACTGAGATTTGTCCGGTGTCCAGCCGCCCGCGCGATCTGCCGGCTGCGCACCAACAGTCCAATTCCCAGACTGTTGCCGATCGTCCCGATAATCAGGAAGATGGGATAGGAGATCGTCGTCACCAGCTGCATGTCTTTAATAGCCCGTCGTGATTCGGCGGACATGTCCTTTAACCGGGGAAATCCACAGGAATCGAAACGGGACAACTGGTCGAACGCCGAATCATTGAACACAAAAACGGGATTAATGGTGTTGTTAAATAGCTGCTGCATTTTATCCAGCGCGCGCCGAATCCGGCGCGACCTCTTCTGGACCGGAAAAGACCGGAAGTTGCGAAGCTGTATATTACTAAACCAAACGTCCGCTTGTCTGAATTTTGATTTAACCAAGAAAAAACTACGGCTTCCCAAACAATTTACAGCCGCGATGAAAAAACGCTCCCGCAGCGGCGCGGCAAACAGTGGGTGGATTCCGACGGATGCATCACGTAGTACACACTATTATGTCGCGTTACGGTTTACCCGTTCCGATCACGCCGCAGACAAGCACGACAACAAAACATCTACCGCCGTCGGAATGCCGATATGCTCCACTTAGGATGCCGATTGCATAATCAGCCGAGACACTAAAGCGTGTCCACTGCTACGCAGCACCACGGTGATTGTTACTTAAATAGACCACAACGGCTGCTCGCGATCTCCTCATTGACGGGGAACAGGATCGGATGTTATGGCGCGGCCGTAAAGCGTTTTAATGGGATGGTCGGCCGGCGGGTGATAAAAGATGGTAATTGATCGTAAATCGATCAAGTGGAAATTTTCAAGGAGAGCTACTTAGTTACCACGCTGCATATGAAGCGGAATCTGTACAAAAGAATTAATAATGAAGGGATGCGATAAGGCGATTAGCTGGGGAGGAAGAGAAAAAGCGCGGGGTGGCGGCTTGTTCGATCACCCCGCGTGTCACGCGACCGTGAAAAATATGACCCGCCGACTGATGTAGAGAAGGGGAAGTCGTTTAAAATGTACACGAGGCTGCATTGATTTGGTTAATTTTTATGGGGAGTTGTTATGACAGTTGGAACGAATTACGCGCCGCTTGACAGACGACATTGTGTATATATAAAGTTTTAATTGCTTTGGCGAAGATGACAGTGCCGGATGTATCAATAGAGCTATAATTGCAGGAAGTGCTTCCTGGGTTGGGGATGCCGGGGCCAGCAATTACTTCCGATATGGTCAGCTGATGGGGAGGTGGGCATTACGGCATGCGACATGACAGGGATATGGACAAATATGACAGGCGCTGAATGGAGGTGCGAGGAGCTGTGAATGCGGCACACGTGTGTCACTGTGTACGGATCTGACATTCCAACAATACTGCTGGGTGCTTAAAAGATTTAGCGTTAATTACTTACGTAAATATTGCACTGGTTGGTAATATCGAAGGGGTATAATTGTGTTACGTAAATGTTTGCACCGCGCTGATGTGAAAAAAAACTACATAAACACGATTAATTCCATGTTCTCATTGTAAGGGCTGTCGACAAACTGAGCATACAAAAATACAGTGAAAATTACAAATTTGTGGGCTATGCCAGTCTCCCATCTCCGCACCACGGCGCACCACGCCACACTGTTTACGCATTACATGCATTGGGCATGGCTGAAGAAAGCCAAATATTCGGTCACACCGGTATTGTTAAAATTAATAAGAATGATGACTGGATGGAAGCCGGTGACAGACGGTCTAACTGCGGCCAACAATTTGTTATTAGCTAAATGTAGTGTAGTGGCCATTGCGGCAAGAGGCAAGTCGGTAACATCACGCTAATTCCGCGTTACCTGTACAAACAGACGTACCTTTACATGTTCAATTTGTCGACAGGCTTGTACAAACGGGAATGGAGATGCAGTGAGATGCTCGCGGTAACCAGAATCCCTGATCGTGAGCTAAAGCGCACGCTGCAGAGCCTTTGTATGGGATAGTCGATCCGAAATCATTTTATTCATAAACTTTCTTTTCTCCATATTAAAATTATTTCTACATTTCTTAAGCTATAGTACGCACTGGGGTGAATCAAACTGAACACTTTCGTGGATTAATGTCATATTCACATGGATCCAGGTCCAGGATAATCGCGAGCAAGAGTCCAAAACCGGTAAACTACCCGAATCTCTTTAATCATGCGCATTTTGCGAAGTCCGCAAGTGAGACAGTGCACAGCGGAATCAAAGGCTTTCAAGTCAAATTGCTTATTGCGGGGTTATTATTACTGGCATTTATCATAACAATGTGACAGAAGTTAATTAACTAGATTAGCACGCTGCTATTAAAAATTCAGTAACTGTAAAAAATTTGCAAGAAATGGAACAACCATTAAATATCATCATATATGAATCTGTGGACGGCTTTGTACGAACTACCACCAGGCATTGCAGCCGTCTTAAAAATCTGACCGGTTGTGAAAGCACGCCTTGTAAATTTATCATCTCCAAACACAGTACTGACAATATCAACGACCTCTTCCGCTGGCACCGTGCGTGAAAACTTCATCCCGGTTCCCGGCACCGTGAGCGCCACACCCCGCTTGACTAGTCTTTCCGCATTGGGATACTGATCGGCCAGCAAGGGCCAGCAGACCATGGGTACGCCGGCATCGAGACCTTCCAGCACGCTGTTCCATCCGGCATGTGTCAAGAACACGCCGGTGGATTTGTGGGCTAAAAGGTTGCGTTGAGGCACCCAGGGCAAAATCAGACCGGTGCTGGATAGCGATTGGCTAGCAATGGAGGCTTGCAGTTCTGGCGGCAGGTGGGAATGTTCGGCCGGTTTCAAGGACCAGATGAACGGTTTCTTTAAAAGCAGCAGCGATTTGGCAATCTCTGCAAAATATACTTTCCCGATTGACGCTTTCGACTGGCGGTGGCCGACCAGAGAAGTCTTTCATGTTTTGGCCATAACATGAAAGACTTCCCTGGTCGTTCACCGCCAGTCGACCTCCGTGGAAGTCAATTCGTACGAGCAGTAGCTGTATGGAGAGAAATCGTAGTGCAACGCCACATTGTGCTTGTAAACGTTGTTGAGTTGCCTCTTGTTAGAAATTACGATGAAATGCAATCAGTTTGGAAGACTTTCTCGTCTTTTTTTAAATCAGCAAAGGTAAAGTAGAGCCATGCAGACGTATGTACGTGCATTGTGGGAGGGTATTATGATGACTATTATCACCCAAGCAGATTATCAATTCGCTTTATTTAATTTTTTGTTAGCAGTAATAAGTTGGCAGTTTATAGTGATCCAGTAATTCCAGTCATATGTTTGCATTAATCACAGGATGTGCGAAGCGGTCACCAATACCATTCCCACATCCCGTAGGTGCATATAAAAATCTAGCTGTTACATGCCATACCTTGGACTTGCTCGACCGACGGCAGCGCTGTCGATCCAAAACTGACATACAGCACACTGCGTTCTGCTTGTTTATCCAGCCACTGATTCACGAAGTCCTCTCCGCCTTTAGCCATCTCCTTACCAAACAAAGGTGCGACAAACCTGACCGGCCGTCCTTTGGTCTGCCAGTGTGTCTGGAACCGTTGCAAACCATCCGGCTCCAACTCTTCCAGCGAGTGACAAACGAATCCCGAGACTCCCTGCAACATTCTCACTTGTCGCTGACGACTCTTACAAATCGCCTTCTTGTACAGTTCCGGCACGCCGGTAATGGAGACATCGTCATAGCGTTCCCAGTCCGAGAAGAAGGCGTCATTCGGCAGCTCCGGGGTGTTCTCATCCACATCCACTTTATTGATGGATATCAACGCGGAGAACGCATAGAACAGAAGACATTTGACGCCGCGGTCAATGAGCACATCACCGCTGAAGAATACTGCCCACTCGGCGACAACGACATCGACCGGTCGCGGTAACGGTCGGTCTAGTAATGCCAGCTTGGTGTTAGTGATCGCCGAGTCCGCTGTGCACGGCAGAACCGGAAAAAGTTGATCGGTTAGCTCGCGCTCTTTTTCGATCATGGCAAACAGACCTTCGATAGACCCTTCGTAATCACCGCTTTCTTCGAGACCGTCGATTAAACCAACCATACAGATTGTCGCTTCGTCTTCTTTAGTTAGAACGCCTCGTTCACGTAATTGACGGATTCGCAGCTGCGAGACGATAAAAGTCACATCGTGGATTTGACTGGTTTTGCGGGCTAGTTGCAGAAGCGGCAGAAGGTGCCCAAATACCGCCGATGAGAGAAAAAGGACGTGTTTTTTCTCGGTAACAGGCTGTTCTGTTTCAGACATTTTGTTAATTTGCTTCGCGACAGATGGATCAATAATGTTGTAGGAAACTCGTGCTTTCAGTTTCTCAGTCCTCTGCATCAAGCGCACATACGCGTATTTTGATTTGCGTTATCGCTTAAAGATATGCAGGCAGCGTTTGATCGAACGAACGATGGATTAACTGCCCACCGACCATGATGTAACAGCCGGGGTACTTCCTCTGTACGGCACGATACTGTAGCTGGTTCTCGGTTTGTGGATATGATACTAGGTAAATCCATCGCTGGAAAACATTACCGCTTATTCCTGATGCAATCGACCAATGCTGAGTGCTGGTACTTGCATGTACTTGCGCAGCACAACTATTAAGTACAGTAGTTCATTTTGCTGATAACACAAGCGATAAAAAGACTAACCAGCGCCAAACTACTATACATGTACGGCTTTTCGAAACAGTATACTTTTTGTTGCACGTAGGTGCATAAAAGGTGCAATCCATTTACATTTACACACATAAAGTATAGAAAACGCATGCGTAACTCGTAAGTAACTTCATCCACGCGTAAAACTACCAACTAACCTATGACGAATAATCATGGCGAAGAACAAAAGAGTAACATTCTGGTACGAATAAAGGAAAAAATGATCATGAACAAGAAAAGCTTTCGTCAGCTCCTTAGATAATTGAATCTTCTTCAAAGCTGAATCGTGTTTGTAAGACTGCGTTTCAGCAGCACGATGACCGTAGTTATGTATAACTTCAACTCTTCAAGCGCAGACCAGCATCTCTTACACGAAATGCGAATTAGACCACTGCCAAGCTGCTTGTATGTTTGTGATTATTTTTAGCAACCATGAGCAACCTTCCAGTATCTGTCTGTAGTATGATCTTTCACGAACAGCTAGAGTCTACTGTGTATGAGTTATACAGTAACGGTACCAAGTACTACCAACTTTTAAACAAGTTGCGCACCACTTCATAAACGTATGTAACCTACATATTGTACTATGTACATTAAGTCTACATAGTGCATTATCGAGAAAACAATAGCAAACTTGAAAAGCAACAGCAACAGCAAAATTGAAAGTGCACATTTCAAACAGACAACGTTGCACAAACCGCTACGACCAACCTCGAGCTAACTAATAACGGTTTTCAACCTAGCAGGAAATCTTCCTTCTATGAAGCAATAAAGTAAAACACAACAATAAACGCAACAGCGCCATGGCAATTTACTCAACAAGATCCAACACAGTTAATTCTCTTTTAACCTGGGTGTTGATAATTTTCACTTTGCGGCGATGAACCGAAATCCACTCCGAGCGGCCACCATCTGAAAACCTCCAAATGAACCCGTCAAACGCTCCCGACTGCCATTTTTGCATCGTTGATTCCGAAATCGCCACTTCCTCGCGGTCCACCCATGTAACACCGATCACCGTGTCTTTCAGAACCAGTTTTTCGCAGACACCACTCCACCGTGCCGACAATTCCGCTCGACACTCCCCGGCCTGCGAGCCCAAGACCGAGGACTTCCAGATGTTACAGGATGCCAGCAGGATCCAAGGGATCTTCAGGTTTTTCGCGTGTAAAATGTCGAGCACAATATGGATGGGACTGGGACGGAGGATACAGCAGTCCTTCGGGTCAATGCTGGTGATGACCAGGGTCCTGGTGGTCGGCCGCACCATCTTGTCCACCAAACCGGCCACCATTTCGTCACTGCAGTGGTTGGTATCGATCTCAACCCACGCGGCTAACGGAGCGGATTTGAGGATGGTGTTCCATCCGGAGCACGTCGCACTGGCTTTGACACGTTCGCAGGCATTCAGGAAAGAGAAGATTCGCGCTAGCAGCTCAACAGGCAAACCATGCATGCGAAAACCGGCGCGTGCGCAAGGCGCATGCACTTTTGCAGGTCCCACCTGCAAAACCATAACCATTCAAAAAAACTTCTCTGTGTTTCTTCAAACAAACCACATATCTGATAACTTGCAGTACAGGCCTTAGTTCAGTAACGCTGTTCAACGAAATCATTCATAAAACCGCTCAGTTGTCGCTTATACGCTGCATATTAGGTTGATTGCACCTAAAACCGGTTTTTGGCTGTAGCTGATTGAGCAGCGAGCAGCATCGTTGACCGTTGTCTTTCTCTCTCTCTTTCTTAACTATGTTGCGCAACCCGCTATAGCCAATGAGTCACAAAACCAGGAACACCGGTTTACACGCACGGTAAAAATACCAACTTTGACGTGCATCATGTACGCGACAGCTGTCCGGTGCAAATGGACATTCAGTTTCCCGTAATGTATGAGACCGAGGTGGAAACTAGTGGATCTCTTCGAATACTTACCAGAATGGAGGTATTTGTCGTGTCCGTACCATCTTCCCGTTTCCGCTTCCTGACATTCTGTAGCAACGCGTTCAATCCGAACACACCAGTGGGATATATTGTCGATGCCTGGTATGAAAAAAACCACCAGCTGGAAAATTGTTCCACATCGCAACCCAGGCAAGAACTTACAACAGTAGCCTGGATGCAAAGCGCTGCTTGCTTCGATGGCGCTAGGCAAATAACTCCTCCTCGTTCAGTCACATCCACGGCAATTGTCTCGGTCATCCTGTTCCACTTTGCCTTGAAGTCCGGCAGCTGCGTTACCGCCAGCAGCTGCGGAAACAGAAGTGCCTGCTGTACCGTGTACCGTTTGAACGGGACTTTATTGGGTGATTTCTCCCAGTGACACGCTGGCATGTCACCCGTCGGCTGCACACGGCACCATCCTACCGTATCCCGCACCGTCCTCCCGTCCGGCATACAGATCTCCACAAAAGCGTAGTCATACGCGCAATGCTCATGATGGCTGCCTCCCTCTACGATCGTGGCGGGTTGCCAGCACCATGGCTCCAATGGAGAAAGCTGATACAGCACCTGTACGGTATCTCCAACGGTCAGCGCAGGATCACCAGAGCCCGTGGAAAGATGGCCGTCAACGAAGTTTGCAAGAGGAACCAGAACAGCACGGTGCTGGGGATAGTCAAAGTCCACGATGAGACCGTCTTTTCCCCTGGTGTCGACCACGTATCCATGAAGGATTCGTCCCTGGCTATCTCTGACATCCACAGCGCCATAAGGCCAGATGCCCTTTAGGAACATTTCGCAGCAGTTACTGTTAAAAGTGTTAATCACAAATCACGATGACCGATCGAAACGGGTAATGACGAAGCACTGAAATCGCGTTCGCAATTAATACCAAACGGTTCGAATTGTGACGTTAACCTAAGATTTACATTTCTCCGTAATCCACTAAATCGGTAATCCTCGAGAATAATGGTAAGACTGTACTTCTAGGAAGGCTCAACACTTCAGCGAATCAGCGTAAACGTTATGAGCGCTGAGCAAACGCGTGCAACTTTCAGTTCCTTCTCCATTGGCTATTTGTTACGTACAGTACAATCCTTCTACACTGCCCCTGTACTCTGAAACGGTGGAAGGATGCAAGCGACGGCAGGTCAGCAATGTACGATGGCTAAACTTGTAAGAAGTACGTACGGAAGCCTTGAACCCACAGTGAAACTCAACTTACTATATTGTAATATGCTACACAGTGTAGAATACGGTATATAGCCAACAAATAACAATATGTTATGGAAATGCTAAAATTCTGAAATATATATGCACTATGACGTGGCTACTGTTGGGCCAGTCGCTATGGCAGCCTACGAGCAGGCAGCCAGCGACAGTCCCGCTTCCGGTGTGCTGACTCACACCGAGTCGCACTCGCTGTCGAGCGCTAGATCGGCCTCGACTCAGGCAGCTTTCCGCCCAGCCTTACGTCTCGGCCAATCATCGGCCTCGATGTAGGCGGAGCCACGCCCCACTTCTCCATCTCGGCCTATCAGCGTTCGTTCGCTCGTGTTGGATCTGCCCAGTATGCCGCATAGGCTTTTCCCATGCTTTGGCTCGATATGCCGTTCACTTTGTTCACTAGCATTATCATTCACTGTACTTTCACGATACTGCTCGCACCTCGAGCCTTTGTGTTTTGGTTCCTCACTTTATTGCTATCCACAATAAAGCCTTCTCTCACTATCGTGAGCCTTTGTTCGCCTGCTGTCACATGATAGCAGATCGTTGAGTTTTTCCTTCTGCGAACCTTCTGAGACCACGGTGTAGACCTACATCCGTAACGGCCGACGAGAAGACAGGGGAGAACCGAAGGTTCCCATCCCCATCTGATCGCCGCCAGCCAGAACGGTCTGGTCTCTTTTCTCTCTCTTGCGGGCAGAAAGCCTCGGCAGACCCTTCTCCCTGCGCGTGGACGGAACGTTCCTCGCGGAAACGACCTTGGACGGACTTTGCCCGGGTTGATTGGCGGATTCCGCGGATCCCCGGACAGAACGGACGGTACGGACCCTCGCGGACCCTCTCAGCCTCATCAATCGGGGTCGCCTTTGCCTTAAGTGGCACCCGCAACTATAACAGCGCGGGATTCACCGGACAACCCAGCGGAACGACTCGGATTCACCCGGTAAAAAGGGTCGATTGACCCTCGGTAAACTTTGTAGAGCCTCAGTAGACCCGATATAGCCGGGCCATTTTGATTTTCCACCGCCGAAAACTAGTTTCGGTCGGCTAAAAACCTTTTTCACCCGGAGAAACGGGCTTAAAAACATCTTTTTACGGGTAAAATAGGGTTAGCCAACCTTACTAGGTCGGACCCTCGAGCCTCGGTGTAGACCCTCTGAGCCTCGGTTAACAACCTTTCTAAATTTACGAAAAATTACGGGAGTAACTTTCCCCCGGCTAAATTAATTTTTGGTCGGTGAAAAATAATTTTTCTTAATTTTTCCGGAATTTTCGCCGATTTTCCTACGGCAAAAATAATTAATTCAAATTAAAAATTAATTGTGACGTCACGACGGCCGATTTACCATATTAAAATCTGACCAATCAGGATAACGGGGAGATTCCCTATGTTATAAGCCCGTAGTGAGTCACTGTTTTTTGGAATTTTGCACGCGGCGCGCAGAATCGTGACGTAGGCAGTAATCTGCAAGACCACTTAACGGTGTGTGACGTCATAGCGGTCAGTGCTGTAGTATAGGACGTACGTAAGCTGTACCCTGTATTGACAACAGTACTGAGTTGCAAGTAGTACAAGCACACCCACACCATCACCCCTCACCCCACCGGACCTCTGCCCCCCACCGGACCCTAGCCCCCCCACGGGACCCTCGGACCCTCAACAGGCAAAAAGCCTTATCAGCCTCGGACAAGTCCCCAATAGGGATAGTCTGACTTTTGGCCGAAGGGACAACCCGGAGGCTACTTCATAGCTCCAATAGAGCTACCACCGAAGATGTCCGGTCGAGAGAACCCGTACGAACGGAAGTTCGACCAAGGCTACGCCCGACGTGACAATGCTGGCGGGTACACCTTCCGTCATGCAGGCCCGGGTAGCGACCCTCACTCGTCGGACTCCAACCGATCGAGTAAGTCCGGTAAATCCAACCAGTCGACCAAATCGACCAAGGAGAAGCGAGATGCGCGGATCCTGGCGAACGACTTCACCCAATCACCGGAGGATAGCTTCGAAGACGCACACGACCGGACGTTCCTCGAGCTACCACAGGCTGAGCCGGAGGTTCTGGATGACCCAATAGGTCAAACTGCGAACTCCGAGCCTGCGGCTGGACTTGTGCACCCAATAGGTGCCTCGCCAGTCTTCTTCCCGGCTATCACCCCGGACAATGGAGCCTCAAGCCCGGCGCTAAGTAGCTCCGAGGTGTCACCAGACATGGGTGACCCTGTGCAGCCCCAACAGGGCAGCATGGCTGGATCCAAACAGAGGCAAGGCCAGATGAGCCCGAGCCAAACGAAGGGTACGGTATCACCGACACGGGGGGTGACCCACAAGGCGGGTTCACCGACTAAGTCCCCACCGACCCTGGCTCAAAGCCCCAAACCAACAGGCAATAACCCCAAATCTCCGGACAAGAGTCGGAAATCAACGTCGCCGGACCCGAGACGACCCTCGGGGACTCCGAAGGTGACCACACCGGACCCGACGACCCTCACTGGGACTCCGACTCGGACTTCAAACTCATCGAAGCCGACCTCGGGGACTTCCAAATCACCAACGGGAAGGTTGCAGTCGGCTAGAGCCTCGGACACCGAGGCTCGGACCCCTAATACCGGGGCCCGGACTCCGACCCAACAGGTTGGAACATCCAGAACCCGGCCGGCAACCCCCACTTCTTCGGCTAAGAAAGCCGTTTTCCCGGTCAAATTCCGGATCTCGTCGGTTGCAACCTCCACGGGCGAGGTTGAGGGTTCGGTTACCGAGGTTACTTTAACCTCGGCTGGCGGACCGTCATCCCCGAAACCCATAACCCCCGGCAGTGAACCTATGCTGACCCGAGCCAGCCGGATGGAGGTTTCACAAGTTACCCGTAAGTCGAAATCGGCTTCACCGAAGGTTGCAAAGTCAACCTCGGACCTCCCGGCTACACCACCGATGTTCGAACCCTCGGACATCGGGGCTGATAAGACTCCATCACCGACTGACGATGTCTTCGACGCAACCGTGTTACCCAATAAGGTGACCGAGCGTCCGGACAGCAGAAAGGGCTTCAGGTTTCCGTCACCGAAGCAACATCCAGGCTCACACATCGGAGCCTCGGACTACACACCCCGGCGGTACCTGACGAAGACCCCACCGGAGAAGATCGATAACCCACAGGTCCTCCGTCAACGGATTTACGAGCTACAAAATCAGCTCTTAGCCGGACAAAACATCGTTGAATCGACGGAGAACGTTTTGTCCCAGACGGTAGCATCGCACAAGCAGGAGCGCAAGTAGCTCACTGCCGAACTTGAACGTGCGAACACCGTCATTGATGACCTGACCCAGGAGATCGAACAGTTAGAGGCCCAGTTGCAAGTAACTGAAGAGCCCTGCCGTCATGAACAAGCCGAAGTCACCAGACTCCAGGACATGCTGGAGCAGTCTCGGGCCGAAGTGGCCACCCTGCGCCAAGACTTGGAGCAGCGGTTACAGGCCCTCGGCTACTCCGAGCCTGGCTCGGCGGAACTCCACAAGATGTTCGACCGGGTGGATGAGTACCGCGAGGAGAACCACCATCTCAAGCAGGGCATTATCGGCCTGGAGGGCGAGATCGACGAACTAAATTCGGAGCTCGACTTCCTCCGGACAGCTTACGAGAACCTTCGGCTGAACCAGAACGACCCAGAGGGTATAGCCGTAGACCTTCGGCTATGCCAGGCCCAACTTGGCCAGCAGATCCTCGCCCTCACCACCCATCTTCAGAACGAAACGGCTCGGTTCGAACAGGCTCGCGTTGAGCAACTCGCAGTCATCGAGGCTCAACGGGCCCGGATCATACAGTTAGAGTCCGAGAAGACCCAACTGCAGATGGACCAGGACCGTCTCTTAAAGTACCAACAGGAACTTTACGACTACACCACGGATGTAACCGGCAAATACACCGGGTTGTGCGACAAGTACAATCAGCTGGCCCAGGAACGAGAAGACCTGGGCATCGAAGTCGCGTGCCTTAAGGAGGAAAAGACCTACCTTGAGGACTCCATGACCGAGCAACCCCCGTCCTACCGGACTACCCAAGAACAGGATAAATGTCAGCAGATTGATGACTACCTGCGTCGAGATAACCCCTTGCTGAACCCAATAGGTCAAACGGGGGCTCTCCAGGGTCAAATCTATCAGGTCGGAATGCTTCGGAACGAACCTTCGGTTGGACCCGTACCGAGGCCGCCGTTGGTACCGGCAGCCCCGGAGCCGCAACGAAACACTTCGACGGCTACTCCCAATGTACCGACCCAGTCCACTACCACAACAACTACGGCCTACGGAGGAACATCCACAACGACGATGTTCTCAACCGGAACCAGGCCTGTAACATCGACTTCAACCGGACAAGACCAGCCCCGAGGCTCGAACCTCCGAGCCCCGGTAAACGGACCTGGCATAGGACTTCGACCGCCGACGAACGTTTCGGCGGGAAGTTCCCAACCCAATTCGGGGAATTCCAATCGGGACCGACAACGTTCAAGCTCCCAGAACACGTACGCGCCGAGGATCGAAGTACAACCCGTATCGGCAGGGCAGCGCA